TTCAAGACGGATATTGTTCATACCTCCTTCACACTTGTGTTGTATAACTGTACACGGGCAGGAGGGGGAATGACTGACTGCATACAGTAGCCGACTGTCAGCATTTGATTGGTTCTTTATTGATCCAGACACGCTCTCCATCACATCAACTCATCCACAATAAACCATTTACACAGTTTCCCTGTGCAATGGACCGCATAACCAGGCCTCAAGCCATCTCTGTTCACCCACTGTGTGCGTGTGTGTGTGTGTCTGAGCACGTGTGTGTGTGTTTTCTGTAATGAAATGGTATCTCCGTGGACAATAATCCCAGTAACAGGATTGGGCAGGAACACACATGTCAATACAGCCAAATGGGATTGTGTGCTTTTGTCCATCCCCACACCGACCCGTCATTCGCTCCGTCCATCTTCCTCGACGTCTTTCTTCCCCCGTCCCTCCCACACAGGGCAGCGGCAATGCAACACCACGCTTGTTGTATCTAGTTCCTCAAATTCTTGAACGTGGCCTTGAAAAGGATATCGGTGCATCATCAGAGCGCCGCTCCGAGTATGTGAACCTCGCACCACTCGGCAGAATACGTTCTGTCTGCAGGAGAAACCTACACAAGCGTCTCCAGTCAAGCTGGAGTTGCCCCCCCCCCTCCTCCTGTGTAGCTCCTAATCATCCAAGAGAACTCTATTACAAGGACCTGGCAGCTCATCTAACCCCACAGAGGAGAACGGGGGGGGTGGAGATTGGGACCTCTGCTCCTCTTTCTTTCCACATGGTTGAGCACCACACACACGCAACACTTGAGCACACGTGCACACTCAGGATGCCTCGCTGTGACCAGAACCCCGAGGTAAAGGTGTCTGCTGCGCTCACACACACACACACACACACACACACACACACACACACACACACACACACACACACACACACACGTCCGTCATATGTTAATGCCGACGTCTTCGTTGTCGGACCCGTCTATGGGCTTAACCCCACAGGAGTAGGGGGAGAGCTCCTGGACACGGTAGGCAGGGGAGGCGCGACTCACAACAAGCGCTCCTCTAATACGGCCCTGACTGCTGGTGCCTGGTCAAAAGTTCAGCCTGTGCATATGTAAAAAGGTGGCCTGGTGCCCGAGGCAGGATCCTGGGTAAAAAATTCATGCTAAAAACGTTAAGAAGCAAGGGACAAGGCGGGAGTGCTGATGAAACCGCTCCCTCCGGGAATGTCTGATTGGACCAGCGGAGCCTCTTTAGGCCTTCCCACAAAAATCTCCCTCCCCTCTTTCTATCCATTATGGTGGATGATGAGCCGCTGCCCGCACTGATCTGCATCCAGCACAGCACTGTGCCTATAGTTAAGGTATAGATTAGATGAGTGTAGGCGGAGCACAGCTGCTCAGAGCCGGAGGGTACACTGATCTTGAGGGAGCAATCAGTCAGTCAACAAAATGTCACAGGGTCAGCGTTGCAGCGCGACAAGACGGTGACAACTTCACAAAAGGTTACGGGCCAAACTAATAACTGCAACAGTCACTGAAATGATTTCCGTGGCGCTGCACCGCTGGAGTTTTGATTCAAAGTGTACTGTCTAATAACGTGCGCAGCAAATCGTCAAAGGCCCCAAATCTTATCCTGAATTGCTATCCTAGATCAAATAAATCAAGCTGAATCTATGCCCATCAAGTTCTGTGCATTAAACAGAACTGTGATAACGGCTCGCCTCGGCCTCAAACACACACACAAACACACACACATGGACTCCCAGCACATGCACACGCATTACACACCACTGCAGGCCAGATCATTTAGCGCTGATAGTCACACCAAAGGACACAGGCAAAACGCCCACTCTAAACACGCTGAATTAAAGGAACAGGAGTTGCAGGCCTGGTCGCTGCATCTCTGATACGTAGATCAAGGCGCGCGGGGAGGGGAACATGATGTTAGTGAGAGATAGTTTGGATGATTAAAATGTCATGGCTCTTTATAGATGCCTTTCTCAACTCAGCAAAATAGAATCAGCTCTGTACATCAATAGCAGAGTGGGCCGTGCTCCCTGCTAATGGAGAAGTTTCTTTCCCTTAAGTAGAATCCACAACACAATGGATGCATAGCGGAAGAAGTCTAAATATGTTTTGCCCAATGCGAGCAAAATGCGGCAGTAGAAAGTTTCAGGGTAAAAAAGGTGAAGAGCTGATAAAATAACGCATGAAGCACTATTAATGGAAGTGGGAGGGAAGCATGTACATGATTGGATGACCAAATGTGGTGCTTATGGCCTGACACTTCCTCTGCTTTACTACAAACAATCAAATTAAAGATTTAGGACCACATGTAGCTCCAGGTGTTTTAGTAGCCTCCATATTGTGAATTAATGCGTGTGCTGGTCCATGTGTGCGTCTCTTCTTGCGCAGGGCAACGGCATATCACTCCACCTGTGCTCCTATAAATCAAACCAGTGTCTTAAATGAGAGGCTGCTTATTTGCGCGAGCAGCCACACAGGGGCTTTGTGATTGTTTTGTGGAGTCAACATTCTGCTTATGTTTGCATCCCAGAACAATCTCCATGGATCCCGCAAGCGTACGCAAGCAATTAAAGCGATACCATCTTCATATCCCTGCAACCAATAACTGAAATAATATCACTGTTTTATTAAGCCCTTAATGTGGGGGGGCAGAAGGAGTGAGGAGTGGGGTTTTAAAGAGGGTGCACTTCCAGGGCCCTTATCAACCCCAGATTTAAATAAGAGCAAATGCTCAGCTTAAGGGTGTGCCTCTGTATCTGTGTCTGCGTGTGGCTTTTATCAGACATGGGTTTCGGCTAATCGCTGTGTCAGCACACCAGAATTTAATTACTAGCTCTACCTTTGTCCTTTTAATATTTACTAACATCCCCACTACGTTTAATTAACCACGTGTATGAAAGCCACAGCCCGCGTTCTGGAGGAGAAACCGCTCTGCTAATTGCATCCGCGCGCCCACATCCCAAAAAAACGTAACGCGCTCTTCCCGTAGACACACAAAAAAAGTGTCCTCCGCCGTAGGGTACTTTTTCAAATCTGATTAAAAAGCCTGTTTAAGCAATTTGGGTTTGGCCGAAATGGACACTGTCCAGGTTTGTAGATTGAAACAAGCGAGCAATTGGTGAAAAGGGGCTTAGACAAATGTAACAGAAGGTAAAGAGGGCCGTGTGAAAAGAGAGTTTTGTGATGGGAAAATAGTCATTCGAGGAAATGTTCAGCTTGGCATTTTGCAAAAGGTGCTGAGGAGCAGTTCCCCTCATCGCTCATCGCATGTCAGAGAGAGGGGAGACAAATGACGGCCTGAGGCCTCATGTCTGTCAAACATGATGGATCAGAATAAGGCTTCACTAAAACTCCAACACGCCACCTTACAACACATCACACTTTCCCTTCAGTGCAAACACTAAATTGATAAAGTACGAACAGTAGCTAATGGAAAGATTTAATAGTCAAACTAAAGCATATATTAGGAGGCCGTGGAGCCTAAAGGGTAGAGAGCTGCTATCAATTGAAAAGTCTTACAGAGCAGAGGACACAATATAGACCAAGATAAATCACGGTGTTGGATTTTATCGTTCATGTGCAAGGTGTGTGGGGACATTAACCTCGGGCTCCTTCCGTCACCGTGGACACGCACACGTGGGCTAAGAGTGTGTGTGGTGGTGCGTGGAAGGTCCTGGGTTCAAACCCGTCCAGCACCTTTCTGGGTGGCGTCTGCATGTTCTCCCTGTGTCTGCATGGCTTCCTTCCACAGTCCAAAGACACGCCGGATAGTTTAGTTGCTTTGGGGAGAGTGTTGTTTGTCTCTGTGTCAGCGCTGCCATTGAGTGGCGACCGGTCCAGGGTGAACCCCGTCTCTCGACCCGATGCTAGCCGGTATTGTCTCCATCTGAGGATAAGCGGTATAGAAGAAGCTTCCACGCTGCACCAAAGTGGTTACTACCTTGAGAAGAAACTTTAGCGTTTCATATGCTACAATCTTACTTAGAGTAATAGTTAATGTAGATGTACAACACCAACATTGCACAACTAAAAACGCTTCAACATTTGGGTAAAAATCCAAGTGGTCCAATATAAAATCCCTCCCAATCACCATTCTGCATAGCTGTCTCCATCATTGCCCAGGTGAGCAAGTACAAGTACACCCACAGCTCCACTTCAATGACAACGTCCCAATCTAGATACTATAAAGTGGACTGTTAAATGCAAAGGCATTAAAAAAAAAGGGAGGCAGCCCAGATGAAAAGGGGCAGCATTCAAATTAGGGAGACAATACCAGGAGCCGTTTAATCCGAGGGCGATTCTGACTCCTGGGCCATCACACTAGAGAGTCAAATTTTATTGTGCAAAATTAAGCTTAAACAGATAAAAAAAAGACAAAGGTCCCTCCAGCACAGCACCTGAATCTCTCAAAAGCAGCCTGCAAGGACATTATGTCTTCAGTATAGTAGTTAAGCCAGCCTGCTGATAATGCATCCGAAAATATGCGGTAATGAGTTCTCCTGATGCGGACGAGTTAGATGGTCAAGCACATTTGAGACAGAACTTATTATCTTCTTGTTTGTGCACCGCATTTACTGTAACCTGATAGTGGCGTCATGCAGGATCTGGAACATCGCCTACCCTTGTGAGAGGATGCCTCTCAGAGTTAAATAAACAGTGACAGGAGGAAGAGGAAAGCAGACCGCAGACTATCTCTCTATCTGTGAAACCCAGACTCTCTCCGTGAGCCCTCAGCAGATCAACCCCTCTCCATCCTTTTCCTCCACCGGGAACGTGCCAAGACAAATATATAGGCTGAGTAAAGGAAACATCAGCGCCAGAACGAAGATAGTAACACCGCATGTGAAATTCCCTCGCTTGCTTTCCATGTAGAACATTAGAACTTTTTTTGTATTTTCTGCAGGCATCAGTCAGGTCTTCCTACCGTTTGTGCAGTCACACGGATACATAACATTTCCAAACAAGTTTGGCCCCTTACCATGGACTTGGTGAAAGGTCTGGCCAGAGAGAAGAGGAAGGTCATCAGCCACCAGCTCCGGTGAATGGAGGTGTACATCATGTTCCCAGGGTGCACTGCGTTGGCGGTGACACCGTGAGGGGAGAGGCGGCGGTGGAGCTCGTTGCTGAAGAGGATGTTGCAGAGTTTGGCTCGATTGTAAGCCAGCATGGACCAGTACTCCTTCTTCTGGGGGGACAGCAGGGCCAAGTCCACTTTGGCACAGGAGTCTAACAGGTCTGTGAACCTGAAACATAGTCCGGATTAAGAGTAGTTAGAGTGGTTGTGTGTGTGTGTTTGTGTGTGTGTAGGCCTTCTACGGACAGATGTGTGGTGCAGGCTGAGTACAAATCAAAGACGTGATGTTCTTTAATTGCCTGCGACAGAGCTGTTAAACTCCAGATGTTAGACAAGGCCCCTTAAACATTACACCACTCGTTGTGTTATTATGCAGTCACGCAATAACATCACTATACAAAAAAAAAACTGCACTCCCTGAGTGTCGCTGTGCGTGTGGGAGAAAAAGAGAGGGCTCCAAACCAGTGGAACACATCCTACATATTAATCCAGTCATTAGAAATCAACCAATCAAAGTGTCTCCGGGTTTCCTTGTTGGGATTTTACAAGCTCGCTGCCTCTTGTTTACTGTCGCCTTCTGCGACATCCTTGCTCGGCTAAATTACAACATCTGCAGGCTTTTCATTTCATGTGCTGCAACTTCATAACTACTTTAGCAAGTAGAGGTAGATAAATCAAATTCTTGAGCACCGAATGCTTTTTTTTGCTACACAATGTGTTCACGTTTCACTGAAATCAATGAATAAACCTGCCAGATAGGAAAATAGAGATTTTGGTGAACTAAGATATCTCGTATTACATCTCTCAGAGGTCATTTTATGAAGGGTATCATCACCCCTTGTTTGACCCGATCAGATGCCGTACTGGGGAAAAGTAAACCTGTACAGGACCAATTCCACTGTAAGCCCCTGTGGTGGAAACTGATAAAGGGTCCAGCCATTTCCTGCGTGTCCGTCTCTCCCATCCCTGTCCCTTATGGGTCAATGCTTTACCAGTAGACAAGGGGCTTAGGGAATACAATATGCTGCCAGGTCAGGGGTCACATACTGCTTGTGAGGGGAGGCTAAGTGAATAAGCGGGAAATCAGCGGAAACTGAAAATAACACAAACAAAAAAGGGGGCACCTTCAAAAGATGTAATATAGGTCTGGAATGAGGTGGACAGAATGGAAGATGTAATGTGAGATATTGTCTATTTTCGCTGCTTCTCCCCCTCCGTGTAGTCCGTGTGTAACTGACTCTCTCAAGCCCGCGCCTAAGCCCTCTTTGAAGGGGTTAAAGCCACGGCCGCTCGGAGAGGACGGGAGGAAAGGTGAGTGTTCGTGTTGGGCAGGTGGAGGGAGGAGAGGGGGCAGCAGGGAGCGACCTGACCATTTCTCCCCTTTTCCGTTTCTTTAAATCGCACCCACCGTTTTTTATGCAGCCTGACAGTTTTCACCCCACAAAAAAAATTGTGTAGGCGAGCATCAATCCAACGCTGTCAATACTCCCTTCATGACATGCTCTCTCTCAATAAGCTTTTTCTACTCGCTCTTCCTCTTACTTTTCCTACAGCATGTAATGGCGCTGTGACCCCAAGTGAATCTGAGTGTCAAGTCGCCCCCCCCCCCCCCCCCCCCGGTGCCGCTGTTCTCTCATGCATGGCAGTCTGTATAACATAACTCATACGAGGGCCCCCGTAACAGTGCCAGCGTTTGATCTGCTAGAATAACTCTGCGTATGTTCCCCTTGTCTCAGGTCACTCTGCCGAGCTCCAATCCATCACTGCGCTTGGCCGTCTGACTGACTGAGGACTGGATCAATGTCGCGCACACACCCACGGTGACTCTGAAGCACATGGCTCAAGGCTTGGGCTCACCGATCGCTGAAAGACATGGTGCCTGAGTACTGAATGACAGGAAAAAACCTCTGGATTGGAGTTAACAAAAAGTGGACGGCAGAAGAGAGGAGAAGAAGGGAAAAAGGGGGCTGAGTCAGGGGGTCAGACAGAACGGAGCAGATACTTGATCAAAGTTAATTTTCACTGATAAGTCCATCCATCATGTTGATGATACGTTTAATTCCGAGTGACGGCACGCAGAGGGAAATGAGTTTTCAGTGAGTGAGGCTGTCATGTTTGACAATGTGCATTAAGTCCAAGCTTTTAGTTTGTGATGAAAACTCGCCAGTGTAGCGGCTGGAACTGCATGACTGGAGATGAGGAGTTGTTGACTAAAATATGGTTTAACACTGTTTGGTAGAAAGGGAGGGGAAGGGGGGGCGTGTGGAGAGGTACTGTATGCTGCTCACATTAAAAACCTGCCAGGGGGGCTCATGTCCGTTATGGCAACCTGTTATCACACCCTCTTTTAACTTTCAATTAAAGCAGAACTAATATTAAAGTATATTGAGGTGCTGTATTGGATCTATACAATCAGCAGTGTTCACTGACTGTCATGTCTGTCTATGGTCTCCGGTGTGATCTAATCTTAAATTAATGGAGGGTTTGATATAATATACATAGCTTGGCCACTTCATTCTTGAATGTTTTGTCAACCTGGTACGATCATCAGTAGAGAGAATTATACCTTGAGAAAGACACCTAAGAGTATCGATACTGAGAGGAGTTAAAAAACAAGATTCCCTCAAAATGGAAAAGAGGTTTTAGGGAAACCACAGACAATGTTATGCAAGGATTGCATAATCAAACCTTTGAATTTGTCTTGCATTGTTTTTTCATAAATGCTACATAAGGCCAGTTCTGCAGGAGCTGAATGCAGCCTGTGGAGACTTATTTTGTTCTCTATATTCTGAGTGCCGCTGCTAAAACTTTGCACGGCTATGAGTGTGGGGCTTTGTCTCTCCACACACCTCGGTGCAACTGTTGGCATTTACTCCTTCACGAGTTCATCACCACTCGTTTGTTAAAAGGAAATAATGGGAGTAAGCGGCAAACAGTCTGTAAAAGCGACACATTTTCCTCAAATTTATCCCAATTCGAAGTTTATGTGGACAAATACACGTTTGGAATGGTGACGGATGGATATCAAAAGAAGCTTCAAAGTGTTAAATTTAAGGACGCCATCTGCTGTGGTGGAAGGTGGTAGAATGAGCGGCACCGGTGTGTCTCATGGACGCACACATGCACGTGGATGACACTTTACACACTCCCCACAGCGGCTTTCACGCTGTTCCACTCGTCCACAAGTCGCAGTAACACATCAAGTTGCGCAGCAATGCACCAGAAAGGGGAGGGGACACCGCGGACATGGATGCAAATAATGCAAGTTTTAAAATCACCCACAAGCTCACGTGAAGCACTTTGTAGGAAGAAGGGAATGTATTTAACGTGGTTGTAATACCTCAAGGATACATTAAGCGTGAACAACATTTTATTTCTTTTACTGTAATGATTTAGAATATAATTGAACTTGAAAATTCTTATCAAAGATTCTAATTCTTCTGCAGCAATAAGTCGTCAACCCTTTCTACCTCACTAGTGTACCTGTGGGACTCAGACGTTACCACCACCACGCGGGCGGGGGCCGAGCGCCGCAGCACGTCCTCCAGGCCCTGGACGAGCAGGAAGTGGCCGAGGTGGCAGATCTGGAAGGTGGACTCCAGGCCGTCCTCCGTCAGGATCCAGGGCTGAGTGCACACTGCCGCATTACACACCAGGATGTGAAGGGGCCTGCGGGGGAGGAAGGCAGAAGATGAAACTGGGTTTGATTTTTGTGTCGATTATTTTTTTTTAAAAGGGGAAAAACGTAGACGCCGCAGCAGCATTAAAGAAGGATTCTTTACCGTATTGGGCTGAACAGGAGGTAAGGAGAGAAGCAAAGGCAGAGAAAGGAAACAGGGTGTCTTATTCCACTGTGCGGTCGACTTTAGAGGTCCACAGAGACACAGCGTCAGTAATGCTGATATGATACAGAGGTTTCCAGTGCATCTCCCCCATTGCTCGACAGGTACTGTAGATACCGAGTGCAGCTGGCTGGGATTCAAGCGCAGCAACAACATTGAAAAGCAATCTGCAACCGTTTCAACACGCGAGGGTGGCGAGAGTAATGGGAGTTGATGAAGGCTGTGTGTAACTACTCGGAGTAACCGAACCCACCAGCACCTCGACTCGGAGAAGCTGAGCGGAAAACAGCCAATCAAAAGGAAAACACACACACAAGTCATGATATTAAAAACGAGACTTAATTCACATCGGAGAGGAAAATAAAAAGCACTTCCATTTCTGCAGACTCCGTGTGGGCGAGTGAGTAACAGTCGCTGCTCGCGCGCGCCAGTAAATGGAGATTGCTGGATTGGTCAGGGCAGCGAGAGATCCTTGTCGGTGACAGCGTCGCTCCAGCGAGCTCGAAACCACAGTATCACAGCCGAACAATCCAAACACACCCCACCAATTTTTAATTTCTTCCATTAGAATTAATTATGAGGCCGAAGGCAATTTGTGTACCCTGTGTTTAAGACTGCCTACTGGATTAATTAAAAACTGGATGCTGGAAAATTAATGTGTGAATTGTTATGCCGTGCTATAATGAGCCATCCCATGCTATTACATAGGAGTGTACTGTACGATCACCTTCAGGCCTCCGAACACACAAGGTTCATTAAAGAGCACAAACCCAGTCACAAGTCAACTTGGGGAATGCCGACCACAGCACATTATCATCAGAGCACGCATAAGCAGCGGGATATTGAAATTTCTCCGCCACAATAAAAAGAAAAAGGACGTCTAACGTAACGGCGTGGCAGAAAGAAGTGAAAGGAATGTAAATAAATTACCTTTGTGGCCTTCAATTAAAGCTGGTAAAACAAGATTGGGTAAGACATCGCAGTTGCTGTGATGTTCTACTATCAGTTGGTTGCTTTGAGCCCAGCGATCCCCCGGTCTAATAGTGTGAAGTACAGTAACATTGTGCTCGACAAGGCAAGACTCTTTAGGGTCTGTTAGCAACCTGCTGGCTTGAAGCCGCACAATAACACCACGCCTGTGAACTCTTGACCGAACTCGTCAACCTTTCGCCGTAGCCTTCGTTTCCCGCCGGCCATTCTGTCAATTCTGCCGGTTTGTATTCAAATTTGGTTTGTGTTTTTTTTTTTTTGTGACCTCACACTCGATTCATTGGAGCATTCGCGATCAAATACTCCAATAACCAACTTTTTTCTGTGGGCCGGTGGTGCGATTTCCCCCACGCAGCTCAGATGGGCCTCTGGTGAGTCTGTTTGTAATGTAGAAGACCTGTTAATTCAACTGCCCACCAGTTAGTCCCTCTCTCATAAGCGCAGGTCTAATGAATGTCTTTAATGGGCCTATTGCCGTGTACCACAGTCCCTCTTTCCACATTAGGACCTCACACAACACTGTGTGCGCTGTGCAATCTAAGTGCTGGTCAAACGAGGGTGTTAACTACCAAACAGGGAGACATCACTTTGTATATTTACTTTAAATAACCCCCATGGGTATGACCCCTGACCTCCATTATAATGTGGGGCAGCAGGAGGAGATTGCCTGTGTGCGCTGGGCTCAGACTCCTGGTCATTAACACTGCACTTTATTGGCTACAAGTAAAGCGGCACAGGCAACAAACATATGGATATGAGCCCCCTTCTCCTCCTGATCCATATTCAAACTCACAGCAGAGGTGAAAACACACCACAATCTGACATCTGTGTTTCGGTCAACATGATTCAAAGCATGTGTGTCCATACAAGCTCCTGTTAAATATAATATGTTTGAAATTAGCACAGGATAAATGCATTTAAAAATAAAAAAAAACACAGGCGAAAACAAATTGCACGTGTTAATTACGGGCCGTTCAGTAGAAATTGTATTAGGGGCGTTCTGTCAACACTGTCCTCCATCAATTACATCCCAATGAAATTCCACTGCGTTCAACAATATCAATATCCAGGTAATTTCATTTCAAAGGAGAGGCAATTAAAGCAAAATCGGGGTCAATGGAACACAAAGCAGCGTGAAAGCCACTGACTAAAGCACTTAAAAGCAAGGGAGTGAGAAACGAGAGAAGCGAAAGAAAAAGACTCTGATTACATTTCACCTGTCAATGACACGCTGCAGCGGCATTATTGTGCGTGTGTGTGTGTGTGTGTATGAGTGTGTTTGGTCTCCATGTGTTTACAAAACTCTGCGTGCACGCGTCTCCACACGGAATTGTACGTGCGCGTTGTGTGCGCGCCCTCTCCTGCGTGTGTTATGCCTGAAGACATACGTGCAGTAATAGAGTGGCGGTAGAGTCAGACAGCTGCCCAGTGCCATTCACAGCTCAGAGCTCCCAGCCTCCACTCTGCTCTGTTCGCCTTCTGATGAGAATTAATGTACTCTGACGTCCCCTGGGACCCCCTCCTCCCCCCTCCCAACAGCACGGCTAATGAAGAAATAGAACCTTGCCAAAATACTGAGGGAGAGAGACGGAGGGAGGGAGTAAGGAAGGGGGAGCAACACAGACAGAGAGAGACAACACGAGGGAGAGCTCGACGCAGATAGAAACATTTCAAAAAAGGAATATGCAAAAAAAAATAATAAGTATAATATCCTGCAGAGTGGATGGGAGGGGTACGTGGAGGAGATGGGAGGGAAGGATAGGACACAGGGCGACGGGAAGCCACCGCGAGATTTGGCTGCGACCCAACACACGTGTCCTGAACGGCCATTCCCCGCCCCAGGGCTGCTCCGGGCAACGACTGCCCTGCCTCTCCCCAAGGGGCTCCCCCGACACCAACACCGACACACCCACACAACGGCGGGTGGATGAGCCGTGTGGATGACCGAATACGTGACCCCAAAATAGCAACTGAGCGACCGACCGCGGGACGCACGGCACATGCGGTAAGAGCTGACCACCACAAAACAAGTGCCGTCAAGTCTGGAAGTCTGTCCCCACCAATGTCAAGCAAATCGACGCGAATACATCCGCGTACTCCAGGGAACGTGTCCATATGGTGTCCATCAGTTCGGCCGTCCTTAAAGGATGCTGGATGTGGGGGGCAGTGGGGACAAATGCATTGGGCCTGAACAACTAGTTTGAAGACCAGGAGTCTGTTCACAATGGAGACGGCGAGTGAGCTTAAACCCTCAAAAAACGTCCGAGGATGTTGGAGGGACCAGGCGGATTCTGCTTCCAGTTCAAACACACCGTGCACCATTACATAGAGAAGTCATAGCGGTGTTCACCACACTGTTGTTGGAAAGGTCTTACCGAAACATGAGTAAATAATCTAATGAATGGCAAAGAAATATCCGGTGTAGAATTGTAAAATTGTTGTGTTTAACTCACAGTTTCCTGGCTTTGTAAGACTCCGTAAACTCCCTGACACTCCGGAGAGAGGCCAGGTCGCACATCATGGCTTCCACCCGCGCTTTGTGCTGCAGAGACAGGGAACATAAAAGCGTGGATTATTACCAAGCCACGGGGTCAGAACCATTCATTTTGTTCATAAACAAACTTCACATCACATAAAAAAGAAAAGAAAAATTATTATCATGACGTCCAGGATCAACGGATAAAGCGGGTTAGACAGGCCTCCTCTGTAAAAATACAAGAGTTTCTTAGTGTTTTAATGGTAAACAATAACTGTTCTTCTGAAGGTTTCCATACTTTATGGTTTCATGGGAGGAAATGATCTTCTTCAAAATCAAGACTCCAGACTGTAAAAGAAATGTGCTAGTTTGTGAATTTATGATCGTGTCCTATAGATACAATTAATGATACTGATACTGTTACATTCCCTCAAACCGATACAAAAATGCAAAAAATGCTGACACGTGGTCCCAATCCTGTCTAAAGACCCGCGAAGAACTCTACAGTATAGCTTTAGACTGTGTGTGTGTGTGTGTGTTTGTGCGTCTCATCTTACACCATATGTCAGGAGACAGGAGGACAGGATAGCAGAGGAGAAGAGAAAGATAAATGACTGCAGAAGTGAATGCATAGCTGCATTTACACACCGAGGAAGAGGGGCTAAGTATTCATTATCCTCTCCATGTAGCGCTCTGCTGCGGGCCGAAGGCCTCAGCAGGGACGCATGCAGGCCCGAAGGAGCACATCTCTTTACTAACAGAGTACGTTCATGTTTATTTTTGTCCGTGATGAAGTACGTCGACTTAGACCCTCCTCCCCTGGCCCCCGCCTGCCCCTTCCCGCAGTTCTCTACATCTTTATCAGCAGAGGCCCACCTCAACACACAACTACGGTTCAATCTTCCTCCTACACGTGAGCCCGCGCAGGGGCCCTCGGTGCACGGGAGCGTGCAGCGTGAACCAAGGCGGAGAGAGTGTTCCGTTCGGACTAACGGCCCATTAGACTCATCCGTCACGCTGGAAAGGGAGAAGGAGGGAGGAGAGATGGCTCCCGGGACCCCCGGCGGGGCTCCGAGTTTAGCAGCACCGGGTGCAGCCCCCCCCCCCGGCCTGCTGCCTCTCCCCTGCGTCCCTGCCGAGCGCCGCCAGCTCACATTACACCCCCCGCAACAGTGTCGCCGCTGCACCTCTGTGAGGCCTTTTCCCCGGGTCCGACCGTCAGTCTGTGGGCGACGTATGGGATTGTCTTTCCTCTGCGTGTGTGTCTGTCTCCACAGAGTTAAGTGTACATGACAGCCACAGCAAGGACGCTCCGCGGAGCAGTGAGCACAAGGAACATAGGAAAAGGGTTAAGCGCTCCTTCTGATGGAAATGTGACTCTTCAGGCATTTTACAGACACCCTAACTGCCTCCGGGGCATATTTACATGCATACACAGGAACACACACACACACACACACACACACACACACAACAAATTCAGTGTTGTGACTCAAGGGTAAAACCACGCTATCACACCATTATCTATGCCTGAATTATTCTCTTGATGCTACTCAATACCATTATATGGATGCTTTTACAAAGCATGAAAGGGCTGATTATAGCTATTATATTATACATATTATAGGGTACCTGCTTATATGATCTGCACAATGCAGTAATCACAGGTGACAGGAGACAACTATCTAATATAATGACTTGTATGTGCAGCATTTAAACTCCCGGCTACTTTTACACAGTACAAAGAAATGTAGATGAGGCAAAAGACAAATCAGCTGTGGATGAACTTTTCTGTCCCAGGCTATTCAAACAAGTGTACGATGGGCGATGGGAGAAAGGTGCACCTGGAAACGGTGGGTGAAAAGTTGTTCTTTTGCAATTGAGAAGAGGCTTCCAAACAAGGTCAGAGAAGGCAGCAGCGTGATGATTAACAGGTCAGTATGAGGCCTCAACAGGGCGGCCCTCCCTGAACGTATGACCAGCAGAGAAGATGAGAGCAGGTGTCAGCTTGACGAACACGTATCCCCTGCTCTAGAGACACGGGGGGGGGGGGGGGGGGCGATGGAGTAATGGGAGACCAGAGGTGGGGTTGAAGGGGGGTGGGGGGCACTGGAGCAAATCCAGCAGGGAGAAGGTGAGCAGCCGGCCTGGCCGCCCATCTACCCTCCCCCTGCGGATTGCAAGTCTTGCGAAGAAAATAAAGTTTATTGCCTGGAAAGAGGGGGGGGGGAGCATGTAAAAAGCATTAAAGCGATGGAGGTGAACAATTAGACAGATGGCCAGGTTTTGGAAGGAGAAGAGGGGGGAAAAGGGTAGAAAAAGAAGGGAAGAACGCACGGACGCAATCGTTCAGGGTTTTTACGAGGACCCTGACAACTCCTGGTCTCTTCAAGGGCGAAGGAAAAGTGAGAGGCAGCGAAGCCTCTCTGGTTAAATCCGCCGTAATCGCTGAGTGTGCAGCGCCACAGAGCCCGGCTCGGGGGTGACAGAACCTATCGCCCCCAGCTACAACTACAGCTACAACCCATCGCTCCCTCCGCATGCAAAAAAAAAAGGCCAATCGTGAATGAAACGCGCGTCGCGTGTAAACAAGCTCAGCGGCTCGGAGTCCAAGAAACTGCGGCAGGCCGCGCGTCCGCCCACGCGGCGGGAACCGGCAAGGTCGCCGTGACGGGAAGCGCCGCCATCAGATCCCTCGGCCCTCCGCTCTTGAGCTGGCGGTAACATGACAACGACCTCTGCGACTTCCACCGGGAGGAGGTGAAGAAGGAGGGAGGGGACGAGGAGCGAGGACGCAGAGCAAAAGTGCTGCGCGAGTGGCGGAAGTTGGCCTCTGCAGAGGTTCTCCGCGTCTCCCCCGGGTGTTTTCCACGTGTGTTGGGGAATGATATGTGGTCACCGCTGTGGAGACGGAGTGGGCGGTGGAGAGTGGGGGGAGGGGCGGGGGTCCCTAATACAATTATAACTGGGGCCATCCAATCCAATAAAATGAAGAGGTATTAGAGCAGGGGAGACCCATTCTGTTCAATAAGACACTGGAGCACTCTACTAACTCTTAAAACACACACACATGTAGGCATACTCACACACACACACACACACACACACACACGCAGGTCCGCACTACGCTGACCCCTTTAATGGCGTAGCAGCCACCCCTAATGGACGCAAGCAAGTGGAACCGCCAAATAATACACTGTCTTAATGCACTCGGCTCAATCTCATCCCCCTCGCTCTCCTTTTCCTCCTCAGCCTTCCCTCTCGCACTCTGACCCCCCGTTTCCATCTTCACTCACCCCATGGTGCCCTCTTACCACCTCAACTCATCTTATGGATCACCCACACTTAAGAAATCAAAAAGCACCCCCCCGTATGTACAAAACACTTACCCTGCCGCCTGCCTATAGGATGCTCAACGAGCCGGTTGCTCTCTAGCGTTCCGTTTGAATACCTGGTATCGATACGAGACAACTGTCATGTTACTGTCATGGCTGCGCTTTAACCGGCAGGTGGGGCGGAGAGGTGTCGTAATGGCGGTGAAAGTGAATGAGCAGGGACGACACCACTTGAAAAGGGCACCTTATAAAAGCAATTAGAGAAATGACTTTGAGCCCCTCTTCTTGCTCTGTGGATTAGAACGGGCCTCGGAGGGAGGACCACAGAGGAGCTCAGATCTCCGTGACCTTGTCCGCAACACGCCACACTAAATTAGTCATCAGCTTTAAAGACCGCATTTTATCAGAGATATATTTTTAGCAAAAGAAAAAGAGAAAGGGAGCGTGTGTGTGTGTGGGGGGGGCGGGGGGGGGGGAGTGGGTGTAGAATATGCTGGTCGTAAATCATCCTGTCACAATTATGACGTTTGTTCATAAATACCAAGCAATCTCCTCTCCACCTGGCTAAGTCACATGCGCTCGTGCTTATGCACGCACCGCGCACCGACAGAGGAGTATGGACACGCGCACACGCACACACGCACGGCACAAATAAAGAAACAGACACATCTGCCTCTGGTCTGAGAGTTGACCTCCACACACACACAGACAAAGAGACAGAAACATGCATTCACGCTCCTGACGCACGAATGAACGCCCACGCCACATTACAAACACACAAACAAACAAATGCACGCGCACGTAGACAGCCACTTTCTCACTGACACACACACACTGCAATTAATAGGGAGGCAGGTCTCTGGTGAGGACGGGAAAGTGCCTCTTCAGCACATACAGTACAAGCAGAATATGCAATTTCCTCCAGTTAAGTCTGTATTAAATTGATTTCTTCTTTCTCTGACACAAACTAGTTTTTTTTTCCCCCCCTAATGAAAGCTGGATAATCTACAGGTTTTACCTTTCCTGAAATCAAGTTACAAATCAAGCAATTGGAGGGGCTGATACGGGAAAGGTGAAGAAAGGACATGGAATGATTTTCCAGATGAGAAACATGGATGAACGAGGCCCATACGTGCCGATACTCTTAACAGAGACATCGCTCTCACACACTCTCTCTCTCACACACACACACACACTCACACGAGAGAGGCCAGGCCGCGGTTAAGAACTTGCCGACATTTACGTTCAGTTATGTACTGAGGTTTTAGCAGGCCGTATTAGTAAGCGCTGCATTAATGACTGTAATTAATGAAACACGGTAATTAGTAAGCACTTCAATTAGTTAATCGCTCACTCAGTCAGACGGAGGCTGCACAGAAACACTGAGCATGCTGAGAAAAACGGAGGAGGGAGGACTTGACAAGGAAAAAGGGGAAATAATTACAGGGACAGTGAAGGGAAAATGGTTTTATTCATTTTAGCAAATAATGGTATAATATATAAATACTCCAATTATTCTCTTAAGAAATGTAGTTATCCAAATATGTTGGTGAGAGTTAACAGCGGTATGTACTTCAAATGAACCAAAAGTAATCATTATGCAGACAAAACGGCAGTGTTACATTATATTGTATAATTATTATTATTGATGGTTTAACGTGAGCAGAGTCTTCATATCGAGGTGATGCAATTTTTACACTATATACTGCTGTGTTATTTATTTTAAACTTT